GCGGAAGATGTAGGCCGACTCTGGGGTCAGGCTGGAGGCGGTGAACTGACGGGTATCAGGGCCCACCTCTATTGTGATGAACTGGTTGGGATCTCCAGAATCCAGACGGTAAGCCACCTGGTATCCTGCAAAACAGTGATTAGATCATCTGAGGTGAGTGCTGATCCCCTCTCCTTTCTCATGTCTATTGTGAGACAGCTTCACCCACATCAAAAGTCTGAATAACAATTCCACAAACTTTAAGAGACAGGCATGGTTTTAAGAATTCAAAGTGCAGGTGAGAAAAAAAAATCCTCAAAACGGCATTTGTAGTAGAGAAACAATCTTTGGAAAAACAACAGCAGGTTTATGAGATGAACAGCTTTCAAAAAGGCTTCAGTGCTCTGGAAAATTTGGTCTATCAGCATCTACTTTAAATTCAGTTCTGGTTAACGTCTGCAGTCATTGCTTTCCTTTACTGCAAAAGGCTTTATTTAAATATGCTTTTTTCATCGATGAAGTCGACTGCCTTCACTCCTTCTATCAATTCAATTCAAATGTCAAACTCAATACAAAGAAGAAAAAGAGAAAGAAGCACAAATGAAATGGTGAAGCACAACAAACCTGAATTAGATGAAACAGTTTTTTTTTTTTTTTTTACACAGTACCATTGATGTGCTTCAAGACTAAACAACAATTTTTTTCTCAGTTATATTGTATGCCCATTTATCATTATCGTCTATTACCACTCTTATAAAGTTAATGAAAAACAACCAAATATGTTGGTGAAAAACAGATTCACCAGTTTGAATAGTACAAAATAAAGCTGTACAATACAGGACAAATTTGATATTTATTAATATCCTTTATTTTTCTGCAATTAAACACAAGCATTTTAGCAAAATTGCCTCACAGCAAGAAGGTCGCTGGTTCGAACCCCGGCTGAGTCAGTTGGCATTTCTGTGTGAGGTTTACATGTTCTCCCTGTGTTTGTGGGGGTTTCCTTCGTGTCCAAAACATGTGGTATACAGCAGGTGAATTGGGTAAGCTAAATTGTTCATAGTGTATGTGTGTGAACGAGTGTGTAAGGATGTTTCCCAGTGATGGGTTGCAGCTAGAAGGGCATCCGTTGTTTAAAACGTGCTAAATAAGTTGGCGGTTCATTCTGCTGTGGCGACCCCAGATTAATAAAGAAGTTTGAATATCTCTATTTGACACTTTTCTGCCATCCAGACTCATTCTAAAAACGTACGCCATATACATTTCTAAAGAGATCGCCAAATATGTCCCAGAAGCTACTTTTTTGCAGTTTTTGTTTTAGCAAATTCACCAGAGGCCGCTACGTACGCTTTTTGAGATCTCAGATTTCTTACACAAGTGCCATTGGCACCTGCTGTTCTTGCGGAAATCCACCAGAGGCCGCTGACGACTGTTTGACTGTCTGAATGATTGAATGACTAACCGATCGACTGACCCTAATCCTTCCCTGAACCCAACCAATAGTATTTTGAAAAGCACTGATTGACCTGTTTCTTTTAAAAATTAAAATGCAGCTATACGTACTTCTGGCTCCAGAAACGTTTATAGGGCTACGATTTTTAGAATGAGCCCATGTTGGTTTTCTGTCAGCCTAACATTATTCATGTACAGAAATTATCACAATGCAATAAACACTTTTCTTACTTTGCTTTGTCTCGTTTGAAATCAAAATATCTAAAAATTCCTAGATCAAGTAAAAGTATCATTTTGTTTTCAACTTGAGAAGAAAAAGTCAAAGTTATACAAAGTTTTCCTTAAAGTTGGCAAAACTATCTGCCAGGGGTTAAGTAAAATAATGTTGTTTCACTTTGAAATTAAGGTATTTGGACTAGAAACAAGACAAAAATCAAGTAAGATTTATTTTGCATAAATTATATATATTTCATATAAATACAGTAATTAAATTTAATTCTGTAGCCCCCAGTTAACTATAATTTAGACTCAACATTGCATATCCTGCACACATGCACAGCTCTAATACAATCAACCCCCCCCCCCCCTCCCAAATTTCTTTCTTTCCCTATCTTTAAATTATTTGAGAATGTACACACATCCATTTTTTGTTTTACATTTTAGTGGATTTTTTCAAGTTTCCCTAAAACCAACCAACCAACATATTTTATTGATTCATTCATTTATCTTCAGTCACCACTGCGGAATGAAACGGCAACTTATACAGCATATGTTTTACACAGCGGATGCTCTTCCAGCTGCAACCCAGTACCACACTCATTCACACACAGACTCATGAACTACGGCCAATTTAGTTTATTCAATTCACATATAGTGCATATCTTTATACTGTGGGGAAATCAGAGCACCCGGAGGAAACCCACGCACACATGGGGAAAAACTCCACACAAAAATGCCAACTGACCCAGCCTAGACTTGAACCAGTGACCTTCTTGCTGACAGTGCTGAGCCACTGAGCCACCATGTTGAGCAAACATATTTTATATCATCCTAAAATATCTAAAACATACAAAGTGTATCTATATACAGTTAAAGTCAGAATTATTAGCCCCCTGCATATTTTTTTCCGTTTTCTGTTTAACAGAGAGCAGATTTTTTTCAACACATTTCTAAACATAGTTTTATTAACTCATCTCTAATAACTGATTTATTTTATCTTTATCATGATGACAGTAAATAATATTTAACTAGATATTTTTCAAGAAACTTCTATACAGCTTAAAGGACATTTAAAGGCTTAATTAGGTTAACTAGGCAGATTAGGGTAAGTAGGCAAGTTATTGTATACTGATGGTTTGTTCTGTAGACTATCAGAAAAAATAAAGCCTAAAGGGGCTAATAATTTTGTCCCTAAAATGGGGTTTAAAAAATTAAAAACTGTTTTCATTCTAGTCAAAATAAAACAAATAAGAATTTCTTTAGAAGAAAAAATATTATCCGACATACTGTGAAAATTTCTTGTTTTGTTAAGCATAATATTGGAAATATTTTAAAAAATTTCACAGGGGGGCTAATAATTCTTACTTTTACTGTATGTATATATATATATATATATATATATATATATATATATATATATATATATATATATATATATATATATATATATATATATATATATATATATATATATATTTCTATTTTAATATTTTATATTTTATATTTTTTTATATATTTTTCTTTGTTCATGTATTAAGTATTGTCAATGTATTAAAATATGCACAAAAATATTTAAATGTAAAATAAAATGAATAAATAAACAAATAAATAAATAAATAAATTAAACTAAAACATTCAAGGCATTCTAAATTAATCTAAAAAACACATTATTAATAAATTATTGTAGTAAACTACACAATATTGCTGGCAGATGATTTCCAATAGACACAGAAAAAAAATCATATTTCCAACTCAGACGCTGAACAAGCACGGTTTGACCCAGAAGGGCTGCAACGTACAAGGCACAACAAGCTGGGTCTGCCGAGCGTCCAACTGAATCATGTCCGAGGGAATGACATGTGTTGCAAACCTCGAGCAAAACAAATGATAACATTATCGCAAAGCATGTTGGAAATGGAATGTGTGGGCAGAGCTTGGCCGTGGGAGAGACGGAACATTATTCAAGCGTCTATTTATCTTTCAGGATGCTTGTGCTGCACGTCGGCCCCCTCGGCTGCTGTGCAAAACGAAATTAGGCCATCCCACATTGTGAGTCTGCAGCACTTGGGGGCTGCCATTTCATCCTAATGTCCACTTCAGCCATGAGGGCCACTGGAAAAATCACACGCATTCATCCACTAACACACACACATGCACATTGAAGCACTCCCCTTCTGCTTACTTCCATGTCAGGATCTATATTTCCAGACATACTAAGAGAGCTGTTCCCTCAACATTCATGTGGCTCTGACCTGTGCTTTGTTTATTAGGGCTTTGGTTTTGGGAGAGGGTTTCCACTGCCAGGGCATCGGCCCATGTGATTGGCTGGGTCACCACCCCACAAACTCCTGCAGCTCTATTTTCCTCATTCATTGCCCACTGATTACCCGTCCTGCAGCGGCCAGCAGAAGCCCTCACAAGGGCAGAGAGGGCAGGAAAGCCCAGCTCTACTAAATCTCAGAAAGCGCATTTTCATCAACACCAGCTTTCCATGCATTTGCCTTTCTACAGATGCAGCGAATTAGCGGCATGCTGGGAAATCTCCTTCCTCTTTTCTCAAAGAGCTCTCTCTCTCTCTTTGACTTCAATCTGCATAACCAGCATCCCTTGATCTGACATGGAAACAGTGTGCAAAATAATGCAAAAATTCGTCTGGCAGTGCCGCTGTGTTGATGTAATTAACAGCCAGGTTCTGCTGGCATTTCTGCCTTTACATCTATTTAGCTTCAGAATACAAGGTTTGATTTAGCATGGGACTTTTAGCACAGTTTCCTCTGTCAAAGCCTCCAGTACTGTGTGCTTGAGCGAGGCGGCTGGAGTCAGATTAAACGCATCTATAAGATCTGCTGCGAAATCCAAAGCAAACTCCCATTCCCAGCTACGGACTTCAACGGTTTGCTGAAGCTTCTGGAAACGCACGGCACATTTTTCCAGCAGCTCTGAAAACAGGATTACATTCAGGCTTTGCTGTAAACAAGTCTCTGCTGGAAAACCCAGACTAAGCTGCTATCTGTTTTATTCTGAACATGGTAGCTAGTTTCTAAATGGGCTACACTTTGAAATTAGCTGGTACAAGAGGGTAGAAGAGTGGTCCCTACTTCACCTACTTGACATATAGAAAGTCATCCCTATTGAAACAACCTGTTTCAGAACATTTTATCATTAGTTATTAAATTGGTGAAGGCTTGCTTGGTTTGGGACTTGTGGATCTGCGCACTGATGGATTTGCTCTTCAGTGTTTGGACTTTCAGCAGTGAAAATTAGACCACATTGAACTGAACTAAACTGAGCTTCAACTCTGTAAACTGGACTGACACAGTTTCATTTTACTAAAACTTCTATGTTAGGCTGCTTTGACACAATCTACATTATGAAAGCGCTATAGAAATAAACATAAATTCAATTGAATTGTAACAGTAGATGGAAGTGGGAACAGTGTTGAGTTTCCAATAGCAGTTTATTAAGACTGTCACCGGTTCGGTCCCAGCATGTCCCTTCACCAACCAGCAGAGGCCCTCATCTCATACTGTGTTTACAATAAAGCTCGCACATGGGTCCACATCCCTCTGAGTCATCATTACAAAGACAATCATCTAGCAAGCAAAGGCCGAAACCGGAACAAACAGGTGCATACAGACAAACCGAAGTGTGGTGAATAGACGGTCAGTACAGGTGGCAAACAACGTAAACCAAGAAACAAAGCAAAGGGTCAAACACGGCAAGGTAAGGAAAGGAAAAACTTGTCGTAATGCTCACTAAACACTTTAACAAGACTCAGCAACGATGTGTCAGTGGGTGCTCAATTTTGTGAGGATTCTGCCACATCGGTCTTGTTAATTCTTGTTTTGGTGGCAGAGTAGAGAGACTAGTTCTGTCTTGTTTATTACGTTGTGCTCGGCTAGAGTATTCTTGAGTTGAGCACTCATTTTCTGTGATTGTATTCGTCTTTGTACGAGCGCCGTCTTTGCCAGGGATAAGCTTTAGTCCGGGTGCTTGTGCTTGTTTTGTCTGCAGCGTTGTTTCATTCTCAGTGTCTCAGTCTAGTTGGTTTCGGTTGGCACTGGGATGGAACAAGCATGTTGCATGTGTGAGTGTGCTTGTTTCTTGTGTTCTGCAATGAGTTCTCTCATTGGATGCGTGTTCTAGTCCTGTTTTATGTGAGCACGTGGCTTGTGTTGTGTCTTTGTACCATGTGCTCTCCCATCTATTGTCATGTCTCACCCACCTTGTTATCCTATTATTTACCACCTGCCCTCTTGACAGTTGTTTGGTTTACTTTACACTTATTAATCTCCCTGTGTGCTCTGTCCTGTGCTGATTCATCGTCAGTGTTCCTGTGGCGTCTTTCCTTTTACCAGTCAAGCCTAGTCCTACTTAGACATTTCAGTCTTGTTATGTTGTTGTGTTTTCCCCCACAGAGTTGTTTTAGTTGTTTTTGTTTCTTTTTTGATATTAAAATCCTTGGTTCTTTGCAATTGGGTCCTCACCTCATCCTTTCCAACACTCCAACACTGACAAGTTTATTGTTCTTGAAATCAGTCCATAATGATCTTTCGGCACCGGTGCTGGGAGTTGTAGTTCGTTAATGTGGTGTGTCTGTAGTTCTTCAGCGATCTGCAGCTGCTAGATTGCTGGTGATCTTAACAGTGGGACAGGTTGTGGAATGTGTTGTGATAGCATGGCCAAAATCTGCCTCAACAAAACAAGACCAATTTCTATTTTTCTATGACTTTATTTGTTAATATTTGTTTTTAATAGATAAATATTGTTCTTAGTTGCTTGTTATATTGAATTAGTAATATTAAATAAATAATAATAAAAACAATCCCAAAAGGTTTATTTACTTAATTACTTAAAATTCAAAAATTCAAAGTATAAAACTTTATGAGTATCTTTCTTCTGTTAAACGGAAAAGAAGATATTTTGAAGAAAGCTAAATACCTGTAATCATTGACATAGTAATTGCTTTTCCAAATAAAGCAGTCAATAGTAACAGATTTTCAACCTTTCTTCAAAATATCTTGTGTGTTCAACAGAAAAGAAACAAAAAAGTTAGGTTGGCCACTTTATTAGGTATATCTTACTAGTACCAGTTTGGACGCCTTTTGCCTTTAGAACTGCCTTTATCCTTCATGGCATAGATTCAACAACGTACTGGAAAATTTCTCAGAGATTTTGGTCCATATTGACATGATAGCATCACACAGTTGCTGTCTCACAGTAAACTCTAGAGATGATAGTGCATAAAAATCCCAGTATATCAGCAGTTTCTGAAATACTCAGACCAGCCTGTCTGTCACCAACAACCATGCCACGTTCAAAGTCACTTAAATCACCTTTCTTCTCCATTCTGATGCTTGGTTTGAACTGCAGCAGATCATCTTGACCATGTTTACATGCCTAAATGCTTTGAGTTGCTGCCATGTAATTGGATGATTAGAAATTTGCAATAACAAGCAGTTGCAGAGGTGAACTTGAGTAATTTTTTTGTTAGAGCTATCTCTTTAAGACATTTGTCATACCACAGATGATATTTGTGTACTTTTAATGAAACAGATTTTTGTTTGTGCTTCTGAATAAAAAGTTTTCAAATCTATATTTTTAGCCACAAATGTGAACGTAGCCACAAAAAATTGCACAAATAATGATCTTTGTCGCGGAGACATGGCGGTCTGTATTTTCCAACAAACAGAGCAATGTTTTGATAGCGCCACTGAGACAGAGCTTGTGCTTTTGGGGGGAGACAACAGCTAATGACCAGCTAATGACTGGTTTAGAGCAGCTAGAAACCAGCCACCATGTTCCAGAAACACAGCTATTGCATCTCAAACTGCATTTTCCAACAGGGATTTACAAGAGTCCTGGTTAAACAGTCATGCTGTGCCACATTCCGGAGTAAAATGAGCCATGCATACGCTTTCAATCTCTTTTTTCTGCACCATACACAGCATAACAAAGTCCCAATTTTCCCCAAACGCCATCAAAATGCTCATCTTTATTCAGAAATTAATGCTTCGTGAATAGGACCCGATCAACAAAAAAGTCAAGCGGTGTGTTTGAATCTCATCTTTGCATCGCTGAGATTGTGTGTATTCTTCTCCAGTGTGATTTGCACAGGCAGCATGATTTTGGCAGGCGACTATTCTGAGCTTCATTCACTCGAGGTGTTAGTCAGACTAATCTCATTAAAACGCAGGGATTTTCTCCTCTCCGGCGCCTTCTTGCCGTATGAGGAATTAGTCTCAGGTGCACGGTGACATGGCTTCATTCACAGCGCGGAGAAGAAACAGACTCTGCTCTGAGCAGATACTGCCAGCCCAATGCATTTTCACGCTCTCATGTAGGCCAGATCAAGTACTGAGGAGAGACTGCTTAAAATGTGAGGTGAAGCACATGAAAGCTGCTTTGCACTTGAATTCAGGCTACAAGGGTCAGGTGAGACCCTTGATATGAGACAAATGCTAATAGTATATTGACGGAGAGAAAGTACAAAAAACAGTCGAATGAATCAGTCAAACTGACTGGTGAATCATTTCAAATATATTTGCATAGCATCATCAGTCTGAATCATGGACTGAATTAGGCAGCTGAATCACTTTCTAGACAATAATCTTGGATTATTTGCTCACAGAATTTTATGCCTGACTGGAAATAAGTGTTGGATATTTTTGCCACTCTCAGCAAACAATTAACTATGGCTTCTGCCTCATTAAACTCTTCCATCCCAGCTTTTAAATGCTTATTAAGGCAGTAGTTACAACTAGCGATGTAGAATATGATCATGCCAACCCAGGCTCATTCTGAAAACATACCCCTATTTACATTTTTGTAGAGCGCTAAATATGTCCCAAATATGTTGCAGTTTTTGTTTTCGTGTGTCCAGCAGAGGCAACTGTGTACGTTTTTTGAGATCTTAAAAGTTCACCCATGTTGTTCTCATGTAAATCAACCAGAGTCCGCTATCGACTGACTGATGGAACGATTGACTGACCCACCCTCCTCCTTCTCTAAACCCAACCAATAGTGTTTTCCAAAGCACTGATTGACCCGCCCACCCACTTTCTTAAACCTAACAGCAGCGTTTTCAAAAGCAACTCATGGCCGCCTAATTTTTACTACGTCTTCCGTTTTAACCACATTCTCACCCTGTTATTTACTTGATTTTATTTTTTATTGTTTTGCTTCTGTTTTTGTCTTGCACAGTTTCTGGAACTGTTCTTCAAAGGACTTTAACCCCATAGTTTGGTCAACTTCGCTTCGTGTCACAAGTCTGCCGATGTACATGGTGGACAAATTGGTAACAGTGGAAAAGCAGTTTATACGGAGGTAAACGGTCAGCTGGTAAGACCAAAAAGAAATGGCGTCATACTGCACTCTTGCATCCGGTTTAAAGACGAAATGCAACCATTTTGTACAGTACTTTTGGCTACATAATACACTATCTACCAAAATATGTATATAGGGGTAAGCTTTTAGAATAAGCCTATGTTGCATCATGCTGAAAATGTTCTTTGTAGGTACTAATAAACAGCTCATATGTTAATAATAGGCAGGTAATAAGCAACATTTAAATAATGAGATTTGGTCATGGTGTATATTTTTATGTAGTTATTTGTTTAAAGAGCCCCTATTATGGGTTTTTGAAAATGACCTTTCATGTAGTGTGTAACACAGCTCTAAGTGAAGTGAAATATCCAGCTAAGGCTTAAATCTGAAAGTGGACAGTTTTTAAAACTACTGATTCATCTAAAAAAAAAAAAAGAGTTGAGGCAAAATGGTTAGAATGAATCATCTTCATAACGAGTCTTTAGCCATTTCGGGGTGACGTGACTACGAAACATAAGCCCCGCCTAATTGTTGCCCGCACAAACCCGGGAAAATTTAAACCTGTGGCCCCGCCCACTAACACAGCAGCAAAGACAGATCCTGAAGTCATGAGTCATGAAGACGCTGTGCTTACCTGGATATCATTGGAAGTGTGAGGGAAATTCAGCAGTCTACACGCTTACAATGGGCGATTCATTCGTTTAAACAAAGTTTAGTTTCACATATAAACAAACAGAGCAGTTTTAATTAAGCCAACAAGTATAAACAGACCCTCAGAAGAGAAGAAAGTTACTTTTACCCATTATGATGCCGTTGGGGTCCACAGGCGGCTGCCAGACCACCCTCACCTCTGTCAGGCGTACCTCTGGGAACACAAGTCTCATGGGTGGTCCAGGAACTATCGAAAAGATAGAGAAGAGAGCAAAGTTAACACACCTATAAACCTGGTAGAAATCTGAACCATTCTCTTGAATTACAACTGAACCACAAGCCCAAATCACAGAGCTTTAATAGAGGTTATTAAGCTTTCAAAGCAGCAGCGGCCCTCTAAGACAAGCCTCTGAAATGGTATTTACGTCAGGATAAGGTCACTGTGAAAAAAACTGGTTTGAAAAGGACAACAAAAAAATGTTACATTAATAAAAAGACAAAAACACAAGAGATGAGAGAAAAAGAGACAGCGATGACAGAACTTAAATCGTGGCAGTTTAATGAACATATTCCAGATACGATGTGTATAGTGGATAACAAAGTCCATCTGTAAAAGAGCGAATGCTTGTGGTCCTCCATCTGTGCGCACAAGTACTGCTCTCTGATTCACTTTAAAATTAAAACAAATAACGTGAAGTCTGAAAAATAATTAGGGCTGTGATGTTCTAAGTGGTCATTAACACGCTGCTTTGGCATTCTGTATGGTTGTTAGGCTAGGCTAGCAAGTTTTGTCAGGGTGTTACTATGCAGCTGCTGTTTAGGTCTGAGTGGTTTTTAGAATTTTGCTATGGTAGTTACTGGGGTGTTTGTTAAGCATTAACTCTACTTTAAGAAATAATAGTAAGCAGTTTATCAATACAGCTACAAATGCTGTATTCTATGATGTATTGTATTTTTCAGTCCCACTTTATATTAAGTGGCTTTAAAGTCCACATGAACCGATCATTTTTTTTCGTATTGTAACACAGTTCCTAGAGAAACAGAATATTAAATAAGAAAACAGTGGGCGTGGCTTGTTTTTTTTTTTTTTACTGTGAGTTAAATGGATGTAGTAAAGTAGGCATTTCCTTCAGAAAGATCTGGAAATGTATTTTAGAGGAGTTATTACAACCTAACAGACTCCTCCTCCTCACCATTTCTGTTTGTTGTCAAAACTGACAGTTGAACTATCGTGATTAAATGTTAGCCACACCTATTATCTCAAAATCACGTCATCTAATAATTTAACTGAAAACAAAGTGCATTTTCAGATTTAATTTAAAGATTAGAAGGGCAAACTTTTTTTTTTCTTAATGACATGCACAGATGAATTGTTCCCCACAAAATTAGCAATGTGAGATATACAAAAATATGTATTGTAATACATATTTCTATGTATTAACAAAATATAAATACAATGTACTTAATGGGATCATAATGTATTGCAGGAAACTTGAGTTGGGATATGGGTAGCGTTAGGGACAGGTTTGGTGTTATGCGTAGGTTTGAAAGTGGGTTAAAGTGTAAAGTCTCGTTCAAGCAAAGCAACAAGCAACCGTTCATTTCAACAAAGTGTGAGCGGCTTCCAGCGACCTCTGTCTAGCGACATCAACCGTTGGCGACCAGGTGGGTGTGCCGAGTGATGCAACAAAGTTGAGAATCCTTCAACTTTATGCAAATGAAGAACAACTTTCTTGAGCGAAAGTCAATAGAAGCACCGGTAGAGATCATGTGATCCTCTCTCAGCTTGCTCAGAGGCTACTTGTATGCAGCTATAAAGTTGCTGCTAGTGTGAATGAGGCATAGGGGATGGTCAGCAGTGTAATTACAAAAGTACATACAGAAATTAATTACAAATGTAATTGCATGCAGGTTAAATCAAGCATAAGTAAAATTTAAAAAACATGTACTTGCATAATTTCAGTGTAAGTACATATTAATTAAGGCCACTTAATATAAAGTGCGACCTGTTATTCACTACTAAAAAAAGTAATGCCTTATTTGCAAAGCCATTATTTGAGTAGTGATTTTTATGATCGTTCAGAATGAGTTAATGATTAATAAGCAATTTATATGTCAAATAGACAAATAGTAAACTCGATAGTTACTAAATATCTATAGTTAATGAATGCTTCAATAACACACATTCCAAAGTTTAAACATTGCTGAATAACGCTGAAATGTTTTATCCTATTGTTAAATTATGTTTTTGTTTTATCAAATGTTATGTTAACTCTCCTGTTATCCAGTGATGATTCAACTATATAATAATTCAATTTTTAAATAGGATTTCAAAGATTTATTTTGAATACAGTCATTATTATTTATTGTTAAAGGGTTCTCTTTGGCTGTCAGCACAATGCTATAGCATTAAGTATTATAGTTGGTTAATGGTTAGTAGTTCTTGAAATATTAGTCATTTGTGGTAGTTTGTATATTGCTATATGGTTGCTAAGCATGTTACAGTAGATGGTTGTCAGGGTGTTATGAAGCTGCTGTGAGAAAAGTTCAGGGAGTTTGTTAGAATTCTGTTTTGGTTTTATAAATGATTACTTATATCATCAATAGGTGATTGTGAAAGTGTTACTGTTCTTTGTGGTTGCTAGGGTGTTGTGTGTAGTTAGCAAAGTTTAGAGTTGATGCAATTAAACTTGCAACAAAGAAACTAGTGTTCTAGTCTTTAGCATGTCTCTATATACCTGACCAGACAGAATCTGCTGATGTTTTTTGCTATATCTGCACAGAAATAATTTCTTTGTTTTGTAAAAAAAATTCTGCGGATATATGTGGAAAGATTTTGGGAGTATCATAACTAAAAACTTTTATTTAATGTTTGAAATGCAAATCCAATTAGATCCACACATTTAGTAAATAAACCAAGTCTTTCATATAATATATCTACTAAAAGACAGAAAATATTACTTTACAGACTGTATTGTAAAAAAATCATATGGACATTTACATATTAGTCAATATTATTACTGTAATCATTTAAAAACTGAATTAATATAAGTTTAAACACATTTACACAAGTAAATAAATAAACCCAGGCTCATTCTGAAAACGTATCGCTATATACATTTATGGAGAGCACCAAATATGTGCCAGGGGTACGTTTGCTTTTTTTAGAGTTTTCTGTTTTCACAAATCCAGCAGAGGCCGCTGTGTTCGCTTTTTCAGATCTCAAATTAATCTTACGAGTGCCATTCGCACCTGCTGTTCTCGCGTAAATGCACCAGAGGACGTTGTCCTCTGACTGACTGAATGACTGACTGACACACCTTCCTCCTTCCCTAAACTCAACCAATAGTGTTTTCAAAAGCACCATTGACCCACCCACTTCCCTCAACCCAACCGACAACTTAAAAAGCAAAAGAAAAGCCCTTGTCTGATTTTTCCCACGTTTTCAGATTTGACCACATTCTCACTGTTATTCAATTGTTTAATTTATTTTTTGGCTTTTGTTTTTGTCTTAAACAGTGTCTGCAACCGTTCTTTGCCGGGCTTGAACCTTGTCATCATGATCAACTCCTCTCAGTATCCACCAACGTACATGGCAAGCTACTGGACAAACTGGTTACAGAGGGAAAGCTCTCCACATGGGGGTAAGCGGTCAGCTGGTAAGGGCAAAAACAAACGGCGTTTTAAGGAAAAAATGCAGCCATACGTACTTCTGGCTACATAATTTGCGATCTCCATAAATGTACTGTATATCTGTGGATTTCTGCGCACACAGATTCCATGTGGGCCTAGGTATAATCCCTGTGGATGAATTATATGCTCAAGTTTACTTTCAATACGTGATTTGTTCAATCAAATAAGCCTAATAAAACACTACTTATTTTCTGTTCTTGGCCAGCGAACTGCAAAATCGAGTTGTTTTCCCTTTAGACTGTCATCTTGCCCTTGACCAAAGTATTTAGAGGCATGCTGCTCCATGAGTGCTGCCACATGGCACACAAATGCTCCATTCCACCTGAAGAGGGCCATCACCGAGTCACATGCTCCACTACACGGCCAAGACTCTATCATTGTACTTTACAACTGAATCCAAGCATTGCAGAGGGCCGACAGGAGGAGATCAATGATGACTAGAGGATGTAATGACTATTGCGTCCTACTCTGAAGGACACAGTGTGCCACCGGTGCTAAAAGAGGCCTCCGCTAAAGGCCTTGATTAAGGGGAATGTTTCCTTCTCCTGCTGTTGCATCTCACCTCTAAACATACACACTTTCCCCTCTCTCCAAGGCATCTGTGACAGGCCTATACATCCACTAACAGGACACCTGTGGAGCGACAGATAACATGGAGGGAATCCAATAACGGTGGTGGGCCGGTGCTGTGCCTGAGGTACACACACACACACACAACAAACAAACTGTGCTGTACGAGGATCGGTGCTCAGTACAAATGTGGAACAAACACAATCAACGTGGCGCCGTCTCTCGACCGCTTCCTTATTTCTCCCTGGATTCCCTCAGTCGATGCGGTCGGTTAGGCGGATCCTATGTTTCATTTCCTGGACATTAAGGAACTTATAAATCTAACACATCTGACAGCGATTTGATTTGTATTGCTTTTTGCAGTCATAGTGTGTGAGACCACAGGGACACATGTCCACAAGAAGAAGCTCTTACAGTAGAGAGCGCTTCTCCCCAGACGCCTCTTTCTCTTGCCAATGTATTGCTAGCATTCATCATCCTGCTATCAGCCCTCCGTGTGCCACGAGACTTATATGGAGATTACACACACACATATGCGCACACGAGGAGTCTTTTAGCTACTTATGATGCGCGACTCATGACTCCGGAGCATTTACTCTGCGTGAACCTACAATTAGAATCCGTTTATTAATTGCTTCTTTTAGTGAGTCACTAATAAACGCACTTTCCTGCCAATCTTTTCTGCGACGTGCGAACATTAACGACTTCTAAGCTAATCTAATCGCACCGCAAAAACAGAAGAGAAAAACGTCCAATTTGCAGCCTGATTTGCTGGTTTGGCTCTGATTATATCCAATTACAGGATGTTTAGACAAAAAGTCAGGACAATCACTCAAATCCACTCCAAAGAGGATGGACGTCCTGTAGCATCTCTGAAAGCCCTGAGTACGGCGTTCAAGGCCTGGTTAAAATGGTGCTGGACCATCAGTCCTTAATGAGGTCTGTTCTGCAGGGGAATTTAAAAGGCAAACACACAGATAATTGCTGCCAAGGTCGAGTGAGCACAGACGGGGCGAACATGCTGCCCGGGCCCTGGGCCTCCATCATAAAAGTGCGGCGAGGAAATGGCCCGAGCTCTCAGCGTCTGTCAAGGGGGAGCTCCATTTACAGTCACGTTTAAAGGAGACCTGTTATCTCTTATTCAGAGAGCAGCACAGTGCTGACCGCAGGCATGCAGACTCCATTAATGTGACTCTCTAGCCGGCTGGATTAAGGGCTGACCCCTGTATATCACACAGTGGGCTTTTTTTAATGCTTCTGACATGCCAGGGGAAAAGGCTTCTATCGCTGTCCCTCATGATGTCCATCCTCTCTCGTGAAAAGATGCTTGGCTAGTGAGCCTCTGAGCTCCATAGAGTGACACAACGGTGGCTTAATAACCATACTGTAACTCCATGCTTGAAGGTTCCTGTTGGTTTTGCGTCATAATAAATTAGGATATATAAAATTTACATTAAAACTAAGCATAAATAAGTGTTTATAAGAATCATATTTACATATAAGCATATATAAGTATTTACATATTTTCAGTGGCGGAAAGAGTACTGAAAAATCATACTTAAGTGAAAGTATCATTACGTGTCCAAAAATGTAGTGCAAGTGAAGTAAATAATACTCAGAGTTAGAGTAAAAAGTAGCCCTTATAAAAGTACTCAAAAGTAGTGAGTACTGAATATCACGCCGTAAAAAGCTGAAGCGTTTAGTTAGTTATTGTTTAAGACTATTTGGTGATTTCATCATACAGTAAACACCCGTCATCTTCTTATCATCACACGCAGTCTGCCCATCTTGGACACTTTTAATGCTTCCAAACAGTTTGCTGTATGTCTTGAGGTAGTTCAGTGGGATGCGATTTACTTTCTATGTGCAATTGATTGGACTGGAATCGCAGATCTGAGATTTCTAAATTTCTAAATGTTTAAAAAAGTAGTGAATGCAGGTTGAAGGAAAGTAATGGAGTAAAAGTACTGATACTGCACAAAATATGTACTCAAGGGAAAGTAAAAGTACACATTGTTAAAACTACTTAGTAAATTACAATTTCGGTGAGGCAGTGGCGCAGTAGGTAGTGCTGTCGCCTCACAGCAAGAAGGTCGCTGGGTCGCTGGTTCGAACCTCAGCTCAGTTGGCGTTTCTGTGTGGAGTTTGCATGTTCTCCCTGCCTTCGCGTGGGTTTCCTCCGGGTGCTCCGGTTTCCCCCACAGTCCAAAGACATGCAGTACAGGTGAATTGGGTAGGTTAAATTGACCGTAGTGTGGGAGTGAATGTGAGTGTGGATGTTTCCCAGAGATGGGTTGCGGCTGGAAGGGCTTCCACTGTGTAAAAACTTGCTGGATAAGTTGGTGGTTCATTCCACTGTGGCGACCCCGGATTGATAAGGTGAGTAAGCCGACAAGAAAATGAAAGAATGAATAAAATTACAATTTCGGAGAAAAAAATACTCAATTACAGTAATTTGAGAATTTATAATTTTATACTTTACACCACTGCTTATATTTACCTTATTGATTTATTGATATATTATTTACATTTTAAAATGAAAATAATTTAAATTCATTTAAGTTTTACTTTCTTTAAGGCTAACGTAATTAGTATTCTTTTTAAAAAATTGCATAACTAACTAAACCGTTTATGCAGTATAAAACAAAACAAAAGAAAAACAAAGCTTCAAGGTAACACTGTATTTTAAGGTGTCCTTAATAGTAAGTACAATTAATTATGCATAATTACAACTAACCATAAACCACATTCAAAACCTAACAACATAGCAAGTACACTTCATTTAAAGTGCTGTATGTTTGTTTTTTTGACTCTTCTAAAGCATAAAATATCATAATATGTTTGCAGATATTTAAGAAACAGGCCAACTGAACATACTGTACTTGTTTATCTAAAAAACAATTTTGAAGTCAGTTATAATGCTTTGAAAATCATTGTTATGTGTCTCTGTTCTGGTTCTTTTAACCAGCCTAATGCCACTTTAGGCACTTATGTTTCAGCACTTGTTGGAAAAACGCATATTTCATTTTTTCATTCATTTATTCATTCATTCAGAAAGGCTTTGAAAATATGCACCCATTAACAAAATGCAACCTCTAGTGGACAGTAGAAGACTTTGAAATGAGACCTAGATTTAGAGTTCCACATGAGGATATTAATTAGCAAATAATATAGATATTATGAGCGTAAACATTAGTTTAGCAGGTTACATTGTAACCCTGTGTCCCAACAACACGCTACATGAAGAGATAAGCAGTGATGAGCAATTTGGCTGATTGCACCAAACGAAACACTACAGAAATTTAAATGCGGCCATTTAGAAGCTCAGAATATCATCTATTGCAAGAAACAGAAGCCGTTTCTAATATTTCAATTTGAGAACGAAAACTTCTTTTAATATGGAAAATATACCTTCTATTATGTGTCGTAGCTTTAATTTAGAAAACGGTGTAAATCAGCCTTTAGGCTTGATGTCAGACTCACTTCTGTTGGTCATCAATCTGGCAACCTGCGCTTGCATTTGTTTTGATCTAGAAATGCAATACTTAGTTCAACCACTGGTTGTACAACTTACATAATGCACCTTTAATATCACTCAGTATTACTGAATACATGATTAGTAAAACTGTAACAAGGACACCTTAAAATAACATTTAACCAAAAAAATTGCAACACAGAACAGCTATAAAAGATCTACAATGCAACACAAGTGCAAAACACAACAAATCAAAATAAAACAAATTCACTGAAACAAAACATCATACAGGATCACATAACTAAATGAACACTCTGAACATGCTGAATAAACAAAACTAAGTAAAAAACAAAATGAATGAGGATAAAACAACAAAAAAAAAAATACAAAGCAAACATAAATTAAAATACAACCCAACAAAATCAAAACAAAGCAAAACAAAAAAGTGATAGTTGTCCCACCTAATATTCAGATTAATAATACAGAATTTAATAGTTCTTTTATAGATTAAAAGCTATATTTGATTCCCCAATTCAATAATATATATTATTCCTGCTTTTCTATTGAAATATCTAAACATTAAAAGCTATATTTTATCACTGAACTAATGGAAGATGCGTTAACACATAACACACTTGAATGAATTAAATCAGCTTTGATCAAGAGATAAATCAGCACGTTACATGTGCGCTCTATATTTCTTTATCAGCCGAATCTCCTGGTGCGCTGCATTTATCAATTGTTTCTCTAGAACAACCTTGAGGGGGCCTTATTTGTGCCATTTCCCAAAAACACATTTCTTCCCCGTGCAGTCTGTCCCTTATGGCCCTCTTGGCTGTGTAACAATCATATAAGAGTGCATTAGTTCCAACTGTTATCTGTCAGTAATCCTGACCACAGCAAATCACTATTGTAATAGATAGCAAACCATCACACTTCTTTTCTGAAAGCTTTCATTTCACAAATTCAGACAGTCCTTCAAAGTCTATTTAAGTTGCAGTCCATAAAGTACACATCCGAAGGCCAACTCCTCTAATAGTTTTAGATGCGGTAAAAGTTTTTACCATATCGATTTACTTGTCAATATCATATCTTAAAAAGGTTTCAGAAGTATATTTAAAGATCCTGTATAGTGGAGATGCAGAACGTACAACAAAACAAATGAAGCATCAGCAGCTATAGAAGACCTTCACAAAGTGGCTGAAAGCGCTTAAAACTAAATGCCATTTTGTCTTTTTTATACTACAAAATGCAAGGCCAAATCAATCTGTGCACATCTCGTGCGCAGAGCAAATGCCCATTACTCATGACAGCTCATAAACTTACACGGCTTGGTCAAGGAGGGTGCACATAAAACAGACGTACAGCATTAAGGATGTGGCTCATCCAAAAATGAACATTTAGTCATTATCCATCCTCATGTGCTTTTAAATGCATATTTTAAATAGCCTTTATATTTGGAGTAACCTTAAAGAGATTGTTTACACAAAACTGAAAATTGTGTCATCTTTTACTCACCTTATAAGTTATTTCAAACCTTTCTGACTTTCTTTTGTCTGTTAAACACAAATAAAATATTTTTAAAGAAAGCTGAAAACTAACTATTGACCTCCATAATATCTGTTTTTCCTACTATGGAGGACGATGGAGTT